TAACTTGGCTTAAATACTGATGATAATAATGGCATTTAAAGGACATTACACACTTAAATTGCCACAATATTTAATATTTAATGCGTTGTCTTTTTGACTTGATCACCATGTCAATGCGTTTGTCCATGGACTCAATTGTCTTGTCAATAGATCCACAAAAGAGACAGAAAAAACAAAAAGAGACAAGAGAAACACAAGAGTTTTGTGGGTGACATCATCTATAAGAGTATGGGTTACGCCCAAAAAGCCACACCCTATTTTGTGCGAAAAATGTTCTGTTAACTTGTGAACTTATTATAAGAACCATGCAATCCATGATAAGCAATATGCAACTTTTTTACAATGAACGTGAAATTGTTTACAACACCAAGTCTTATGATTTATTAAGACAATCCTTCACAAAATATATTGAGACTTGCATATTTATCTATAAAATCAGCAAATTCCTACCATCAGGAGCTCCACTCCAACATGCAGAGTGTTGATGATACAAAATAAACGTAGGAGTACACTCAAATAGAAAAAGACAACGCAATACTCTGAAACTAATTGCTCCTCGCTTGCATTCACTGGTTTATTGGACCAATTGTAAAGTTTTGAAACTCTACTATCTCCCCTGAATAGAGTTTGCAGTGCCCTGTTATGCAAATAGCTTGCTTGCAAGGAACGTTTAGAAATTTCACGAACATTAGTTTTAGTTTTTAATTATTTTAGGAAATGGTCTTGCCTAGATTTAATCTTTACGTCCCAAATATTATTTACATCGGAGTTACATCATAAATTGTACTCGGATTCAAACGACACAATGTCAATAATTTTATAAAAGTAAAAGCATATTGTGTATTGGCCTATTGGGTTTACACTTTTACAGGTTCGTTTAACTTTAACTCTCTCAAGTCTCAACAGACAATTGGACAGGCCAAATCCATTGATATGACATCTTCAAAAAACGTTTTTTCGAAGCTAGAAATCATGATTTTTTTCAAATTTTTCCAGGGATACTTTGTTTTCTGCTCTCTAGACTCACACTCGCGGCTCTAGTGCTCCACCCCTAGAACATAGACCTTACTGGGGTTTGGTGACACTTTGTATTGCTTCAGTCACCTGCTCGCGGCCCACCCCCCTAAAATTTCTGGCACCACCCTAGTAAAAAATATGAAAACCCGTGTATGTTTGTTCATCCTAACAGTCCATCCTTTTTGAAATAACTGTTGCGGAAAGTCATTTTCTTCCAAAACTTGCCAACGTTCCAAAAAATAACCTATACCTGCGAACAATAACTTAAAAACATCTCCCCTGCATTCGAAGGTCAATCTTTCCCTCCTCCTGTTGTGTTTAAGGTGGCTCCCTAGGGTTTTATTTCCGGGGGTTACGTTCTTCGTATATATGTAAACTAAAACTCGTGTGACTTCAAAATACGAATGATGGAAGTTTTTTGAAACAAAAGTGTGAACTTTGCTTTAGTTGAAAGCATAAAAAGAGTTCTAAAAGCCAAAACGATACTTGGATGTGATGCTTCAAAAGAAGATAATATAAACTTGTTTTTTTCTTCAAGCGGTATTCTGGAAGTTTTTTGAACCGCCGTGGCGCCGTACGTGAGGATCGATTGCAAACATTGGGATATGATATAAAGTTTTCTCAAGAATTTGCAGTGTTTTCTCCACAATCTAGCAGCACTTATCACAATAAAGATGACTTAAAATATGAGCCCTCTATGGGTGAACTGAGCAGGGCCGAAACTCCAAACATACCACTATAAAAACTGAATTTTGAACGGGCATTTTGCAAAAAGTACTAACTCGCACGGGACGAATTTTGAGAAACATTTTTAAAATTAATACCAAGATGTCATAACCAGTAATTATCTAAATATCTTTGCCAATTTTACATGTATAATCCACACTTAGTTGACCATTAACCGACACAGTTATAAACAGTATATCAAACATAATTTATATTTTGTGATTTCAAAAAAGTCATGCCGTGTTGTTTTATACAAAATGCATGTACACGTCAGTTGGGGTATTAAATTGTTCGTGTCAAAATTTAGTAAAAATTGCCAAAATGAAATCCAAATTTCTCCGTTTTCCTTGGGTGAAATTTTTTAAAACTTTGCACATTTTTAATATCAGCACAACAAGTGCAATATCCTTTTTTCTTAAAATTAAATCGAAGGGAAAATTTTTAATATTGATTTTTGACGTTTTTTAAATTTTCTAAGAAACGTATTGATTTAATTTTTTAAAATTGGGGGGTGGGAAATCATTATACAAGTATTCCCTTTTATGCAAAGTTTTAAAAAATTTCACCGAAGGGAATTTTTAAAATAACCTGAAAAAGACAAATTTTGAGCTTTATTCTAAGCATGCTGTTGCCATGACAACAGATTCTTAACACAATAGTTGCAATTTGTAATGTTCAGGAGAACATTGTCAATGTGTCCAATAAATTTCGTCTTCATGTCATGTAAAGTGAAGAAACAGTAGACTCCTGAATACTGTAGTGTAGTAAATTAAAAAACCCTAGGGATCCACCTTAAGAGCCTGCTCAATTTTTTCTCGAAATAAATCAACAAATTCATGAATATCCTTTACATTCGGTTGTGGATTATGGTAGTATCTACGAAAATAAAACAATATTTAGTATGGCTAGCTACTATATTCTAGTATTGAGGTGATGAATGAGTGAGTGAATGATTTCAGTCAATGTACTTTTTAATAAACACTGCAGTACGATACCTGATGCAAAGTCTTGTAATATTGCTTGCAGGTTCGTAGGAGGCGTCGTATCGCGAATAGCCGTGCCATAAAAGAAGGTATTCTGGTTCAGTTCCTAAACAAATTATTTGCATACAAACTCTTATCAGTTTATGTCCATGGCCAAAATATAGTTCACGCAGCAAAATTAAAAACCGACAAACGTCAAATTACTAAAATTATATTTGAACTTACGCCTTTCTCGCTTCTCTCGGCAATTAAACGATCTACGGCGAAATAATTTCCCCCGTAGTCAAGCTTTCTCTTTTTTTTTTGGTTGGAAACAGAGTAAAAGTCAGCAGTCGTAAGATTGTCCAACTCTTTGTAAAACGAGATAGTGGCCATTTTGCTGCACGCGCAAAGAATTTTACCATCTGGGATCTGGGTACTAGAATTTCGAACATGTCCAATATTTCTCGCCATGATTTATCGACAGTCACTTTTGGTTTATTTTCTTGCATAAACTACTTCTTGCATATGTAGACTATATAATTATTTCTAGTTTTTAGGTTGTCACGTCCATTATTCCACTTGCATTTTCATAGGAAAGGCAAAACATCGAAATCGCTCCTTGTCGCTTCCATTTTGAGTTTTCGACAGTTTAAGTTTTGCTCATGTACATATATCTTTTTCTTATTTGTAGCATATGTAAAAGAGGGTCACCTGCATGTTTGTTAGTTTCGTAACAAGAGAGTCCAGCAAAATGTCTAGCGTAAAGTATAAACATATACATGTTCCAACTCATGTACTTTTATTGTATTTACCTAGCTCTAATTCTATTAGATTACATACTGTATGCAGAGAAAGCATTAAACAAATATGAGAAATTTTAAGACTTCAAAAGCTTACAGACAGACATATTAAATATACATTTAGTAACAACACGCAAATTGCTATAAATATAGCAACGTTACAGTCTAGTAATATAATATGATAATTTGTTGTGCTTTTGTTGTAAGTAGGCCTATCACTAAAATATCTTGAAAATCCTTCTAAACGTTTCTTTATAAAGTATACAAAGCATATACATTGATATCGAAACACAAAATTCAAAGTTTTGAACAATTTGAGCTTCGTGACTTTATATCAAGACGTATAGGCCTAATGATTTAATTGTGTTACATTCCACTGGAAGTCTCGTGTGAGGCTACAAGGCAATAACCCAAGCTAGTTTTTATATATAACATGTACTCATGCTATACCATTCCGTGCATGAAATATAAACAAATTCACGATTATCGCACATAGTAAATTTCCGTTTAAATCCAGTGACAAAATGCAATTCTAAAATTTGACTAAAAATAGCCAATTTCAACGACGTCTGTCAGGCCAGTTAAAGCCTCCTGGCCCATTCTATATTGATAACAGTGTTCTTTAATACTTGAATTATAACAATTAAACTATCAGAACTATCTACGGGCAGTTTTGAATCCGTCGCGAAGTGATGAAATTGACCATGGGAAAGGCGTTGTCTGCGGCTAATTATAGCCTTCTGGAGACAAACTCTTGTTTTCTGATATTTGTACGTTTATCGACCAAATATTGAAAATCTAACCCAAACACCATTTATAACTAGGTATTACCTAAATTTAAGCAAAATATTAAAGAAATCTATTTTTCATCTTTTGCCACTGTTTGCTCTATTTTTACGGACAGTCGCTCTTAATTTAAATATTAACTAAGAAACTAGACATACCGTCTTGTTCAGTTGTCGAAGGCATATATTCAAATTGTACAAACTTTGCCTAAATAAGTATACATAAGCTAATTATAATATTCAATCATGCATGCAAGTATAATAGTTCACTTACTACAATCCTCCTTTTTCCAGTTCGTTAAATATTGCTAAATCAGTTGGTTTTCCTTATTTCTAATTATATAGAATTAATTATATATCTATTATATAACATTGTTCATTACCTATATCTAATGCTAATTGTTCCAATAATTTTTTCTGTTGTATTTTCTAGTTTTTCCAAAAGTTATATAATAAGTTTCTAATAAGTTCACCGAGAATAATCTCTTAACTGTTTCTCGAACACTGAAATACGTTTTCGTGTGGATCTTCTAATTGGTGGATTTACCTCTTGGTTACGTACTGTCCTCTACATCACGTACTGTCCTCTACACGAAGTTGTTGGCCGATTCTTGATCTTCAATTTCTTCATTGTTAATTGTCGTCTTGTCATTCAGACTAAATGATGGTGGTACTTGTGATTCACCTCTCTTCAATACTTCCGTCTTTTATTCTTCTTCGTCTTTATCATTTCTTCCATTCAATAGTTTAACTCTGGAGCATGAGTTTCTACACATCATCTTCCCGTCACTAATTCTTCTTGCAAAAACTGTGGATCCCTTGATATCGGTAATGATATATATGTAAGGTTCATATATATTCTCAGTTTTCCTCTTCTTCTCTCTCTTCACCACAACTTCGTTTCCAATTTGAAATTTGTGCCGTTTTGAATTATGTCGTGTATCGTGATACTGCTTCACTTTCTTCTTGTAACCAGCGTCCATCTCTCGTGTCTCTTTATCTTTCGGTAATAGTTCTATTGGAAAGTGGTCCAATTTTGTTCGCACTTGTCTATTCATCAATAGTTCATAGGGTGTAGCTTTGGTAGCTGGATCGATGTGGCGTTGATCTGTATGCTTGAAGCATGTCATAGGTTGCCTCGTGTAGATCCAACCCCTCCTGAAATGCAATACTTGCTGTCTTATTCACGAGCTTATTAAACCCTTCAACTTGCCCTTGAGCTTTAGGATGTCTGGGTGCAATCTTCTTAATTGTGCTGAAATCCTGTCAGCTCAGCAAGTCGTTGGAACTCATTCGAGTTAAATGGAGGTCCGTTATCAGCTTGAACTCTCTTTGGCACGCCATACGTTGAAAATATCTTCTTCAGTTTTTTCTGAATCGGTCTATTTGAGGTTGATCTAACGAATTCTACTTCTGGCTATCTTGAGTACTAATCCGTCATAACTAACGTATATTCACAACGTGTCTCCCAGATTTTGGGAGATAACAATTGGGACTTATGGGGGTAGGGAAGGCATATGTGGCGTTCGAGTTCAAAACAATACAAGGAGTGTGAATAAAGCAACACAAAGGACTATATCATGAAACGAAGCTTTAATCGGCATGTATTTTTCATAAAATACGTCATAACGGTATTATAAGGGACGAAGTTGTTAATAAAACCTGGCTGGACGTTTGAAATTAAACTTCAAAAACATTAATAGACGATATATAGATGTTCTTCTCGAAGCTCACTCAACGACACAGTCTCATGTTTAGTTCTACATATCAACAAGAAAAGGCAGAATCCTCAGAAAATTGCTGTTGAGTTTTGTATTCGGGAGAACATTTGCCCAACGAGAATCATGATTGGATATTAATTGATATTTGTAAGCGATTATAAAATAACTGCTGTCCGCGTGAAGTACTGTGTGGTCGATTTTCCAATTTTGTTGAAGAATAAATAAGTACATTATACAGACTATTTAGCTCGATATTCTTTCTAATAAATCCTATATATTTTGGGTATTTATAGGAGCGTATTTATTTGCAATCGATTGTTTCCCCAGCCAGTGAAAATGTGAAATATGATCAATGTTTACATAAAATTGTAAACTGCGCTCTTGCTTTAGCTGGGTGAAAGCTTTGTATTCTGTTTTATAGAAAGCGGTATCAATTTCCCGTGCGTAATACAAAATGACTGAAAAACGGCAAACTTCATAGGGATATATTCTCCACATTTTACAAAATTTCGCAACGAAACTTCGGAACATTACTAATTTTGTGATGCTCTTTCAAGCTGGAATTTATGTATATAGACTTGTCTAGATCAAAATTTTGTTTATTAGGGAATAGGTCCATTTAGGACCTATGGAAATGAAGAATTTATTACTATATCTTACATTACATTTTTTCTGTGGTCCACACTATAAGTTCATTAACAAGTGTGGTTCTGGTTTTCCGCTGTTCAGCAGATTATTTAATGTCCCAACCCTCTTTACTACTTTTACTGTATTGTAGTTTATAGTGTTATAAAATGAACCTTAGTTGTTTTGATTTTTTTGTTAAGTTCATTTCTACAAGGTTTATAAAATTGGTGGTAATTTGAGGAGTTAAATTTGACTGCTTTTTATATCAGGCAGATGGTTTTGATTAAAATCCAACATCGTATGTTTCTGTCCTAACAGGAGTCCAAAAAGTGGATATCAATTGGTCAAGAGTAGCGCTTATCGTGGTCGTTTTCGTCTTGGGAATAAACGGTGGAAAATATTCAGTAGTGGTATGGATTATCATAGTGAAGGAGGTTGGTTCCGTCGTAGCGAAACAAGTGTCACAATTACTCCAGAGTTCATACTCAGAGTACGTCCAATAATACGTCAAGTAATAATTGCGGGAGTAATCATAATACTAATCATCGTAGGAGGAGCTGTAGTCGTTAAACTATTTGGGAAGTGACCTGACAGCAGAAGACAATAAGCTAAGGAACAACTATACTGATAAGACTTAACATAAACATTTAAAGTAAAATACCTGTTCTCACCTGTTTATAAAATTGTGTCGTGTTTTTTGTTGGGAAAAATTATCATTTTTTGCATTAATTCGCTTAAAGATCGATCATTTGAACTTTAATTATTCATTATTAGCTATATATGTCTTATGATTTAATAATAAAAAGGTTATTTTTAATAGGAAAGTATTGTAATATTAAATGTCGATCCTATATAGTTATTTCAACACAGGTAGGTATTTATCACACTATTCCACGCCGGCATATAAACGCATGCGCCTATAAGCAGATATTTACGTTTTTCGATATTTTTAGTCATTTTTTATAACCACCGTTTATAAGCTCATACGCCAATAAAAAAACGGATATTCGTGGGTTTCACTACCGCATTATGCAGTGAATCTGACGGGGGGTCAGCCTCAAATGCTATACTGGATTGAGAAAATGATACGAAATTCCATGTATTTGCCACCAAAGACAAGGCTAATACATAAAACGAACAATCGACTCATTCTGATAACTCTGTTTTGTTTTAGAGTTGACCCCCGTCACTTTTGTGACGTCATATGAAACCCAAAAGTAGGTGCAACATACCCTGGATCAGGGGGTTTCCTGTTTTATTGAAGCTGCAGCCTGCACTTAGGCGGTGCTGGCCAAATTGGAAACCCCCTGGGCGCGATGTGTTGATTGATTGAGTTCGCCGAACCAATCAGATGCCTAGGGTCAGATTTTGACCCTAGACATCTGATTGGTTTATCGGGCCTTATCGGCAAACATCAATAAACGTTTGCTGTATTCTATTCTATTTATACTGTTCGACAAGTGAGTGCATTTCGTTAACAAAAAGCGATTGTTCGTAGAAACGTTTATGAGGAGAATTTGTTGGTTGTCGTCTCAGATGAAGTTCATGTTATTCCTAAACAGTTAGATCAAATAGCGTCATTGCAGACATATTTTAATATTAAAATATCACGCTATGATGATGCGATGATTCTGTATATATGTCGAGTAATTGAGCGGAATTTTGTCGTGTGTATGTGGTCGTGTTGTGCTGTACAGCCTGTACTGTATGCTGTACTGTGTATGTTCAATTATTTTTCATGTAGTTTGTTGTTTTAAAATTGTGTAGCCCGTATTGTGGAATCATGAATATTTATGAACAAAAATTCAGTCGTGGCAAGGCATTTGTGCTAAATATATTATATATTGTATTTTATATGTAAATATACACAATGTAAAGTCCGAAACAGATATAGAACGTTCTGTATCATCAAACCTGAAAGTAATAATTCAATAACTGTCATTACTTTATATTTCACATGCAAGTATTAAAATATGTACTCGATTGTTGCTTGTATATTTTGAATTTGTAACTTGAAACTGCTTAGAATTAACCTGAGTATCAGGCTCTATTTTACAAATAGAGCCTGACATAAAACTTAACCTGATCGCTTTCCGCCCACAGCAAAGTTTATATTTAGTATCCAATCAAAATGTCGCAGGAGAAATTTAAATTTCACACAACGAAAACAACAATCTAATTATAGCATAGGCAGCCCAGTAAACGGCTGAATTTAAATTAAAACTGCAATGAACCTATATAAAAATTAACAAAAATAATCACAAATTAGCGAAATATATTGCAAATGTAGCTTATATTAAATCGCCACCCGATTGCTCTCTCCTCCGCAGAGGTTTCAGTGACTACAATGAGCTTTACATGGCGCTTGCCGTATTTATCAACAAACTGACGTATAATTATAACGTATATATATATATATATATATATACGGGGAAAATCAAAATGTATTCCCCTGGATTCCGGAGGTGAAAGGTACGTAAAACGTTATTTGACTACGCTAACCTCTGACTACAGCAAAAGCTGATTTCCAAAAGGGGTGTAGAGACTATTGCGTTAAAAACTTTATAAATTACAAACGTTAAATTACAAACATTACAATGAATACAAATAAGGTAATTAATAAGTAGACAATTTAAGACAAAGAAAATGAACAGTCAGAATACTAATTAATTAATTAACTTCACCGGCCAGATGTCGCAATATTGTATTAAAGGTGGGAAGAAATTCCTTATTCGTTAATTCACCCAGTGCTGTAAGTAACTGAATTACAAGTAATCGTTACTTTTTGAGTAACTGTAACGGTAACTAGTTACATTTAAAAATAAGGTATCTGTAAAATGAAACGATAACGCGTTACTTTTATAGCCAACGTTTACGTTACTTTTTTCGTTACATTCTTGCCGTTAAAACTTACAATTCACCTCTCAGTTCTCGAAATTCTCCTCACGGTTTTCTACGACAACGCGTGCTTCAGTGTTTAACACAGCTGAGAGATCCATTAGTGGTAAGGTTACATAACGTTTACAAATAATTAACGTCAATCTGCTGGCCACTAATCATTAAGTTGAAAAAAACGGGGTTTTTTCTTAATTGAAGTAACTTGTAACTAGTTACAAAATATTGAAGTAAATTGTAACGGCAACTAGGTACATTTTTTAAGTGTAACTTTTACCAGTAACTAGCTCCTTTTTTGGGAATGTAACCGTTACTGTAACTAGTTCCAAAAAATGTAACTTTTACAGCACTGATTATTCACCGCTCCTTTCCGTACCAACCGGAAATTACGTCGTCTTAAAATTGACCAGTAAGATATCATTCATTACTCAAGGAATCAACAGCTATAGAATAAATGCCTTGTTCGGATGAATAAAATTTAGTTGACGTAGATCCAGCTGTGAGACTGGGATTTATAGGTAATTAATCCAGTGCGGATCTATCAAGTCAAACTGAAACATTTTATTCCCGTCGTTTGGTGCCGGTGGAACAATTCATTAAAGTGTCAATAGCGGTGAGTGAGATTAATATACTTCTCCAATAAATGTATGATAGGTTTAACTTAGCCAACATTTGTGACTTTAGTCGGCTGCTATAGTAAAGATCGCAGTCGTCATCTGCAGTGGCGGCGCCAGGCTTCCAAATTTTGGGGGGCATTTGAGGGGCAAACTCAAATTTTGGGGGGGCAAGATCGAATTTTTAAAAAGGTCGCCCCCCAGGAAATTCGCCCCCCCCCGTCAAAACGTGGCGATATTCCTAGGAATATCGCCCCCGAGGGCGAATATCCTAGGAATATCGCCTCCCAGGGGGGTGGGGTGAATACCCTAGGAATATCGCCCCTCTTTAGGACATTCGCCCCCATATATGCGATGTGGTTTATTCAAATAATTTCGTGATACTTTCATCTTATTATTGCCTTACACGTTTGAGAATTTAACTCTGCAAAACTAAAGCTTTTTTGTTTTTTTTTGAAACGTATTATTGGAGTATTGGCAAATTTTACCATTCAGAGATTTACAAACTAATATTGAAACTGTAAAAAACAGTTTCATGTTTTCGCGCATTCACAAATGAGTAATGACAACTTATAAGCCATACATTTTCCGATAACGACAGAATACTTGTGTAGCCTTTAGTCGCTCTTAGTGACTAATAATTTTTTTTGAGGGGGGGGCAAAATGGGGGGGCAAAAAATAATTTGGGGGGCATTTGCCCCCCCTGGCGCCGCCACTGGTCATCTGCAAAACCCAACGATGCTTTCCGCAAGTTGCGACGAAATATCGTTTGCTGGACGAACTTTGACCAATATACTTGCAAGTGATGAACCAGGCGGGAATCGTAATCGTAATATAAAAATTAATGCCCATGCAGCATAACGTACGCAAAAAGAGCCATATAGACAGGAATATAGATATAAAATTTATTTAAGAAGTACTAACTTTTCGTGTTTAACTTAAGACATCTTCAGAGTAAATGAATATAGGATAGGGCTACAAATATGAATAAACCGCGTCGTATGTGGGCCATCAACATACACGAGTCGCTGAACACCTGGGAATTTCTGCGTTTAACGGATAAGACGAGTAGCGGTCCTCAACTTAATTACGGGCATCTTTTCCCATGCATTCGAGCAACTCAGGTCATACTGCTTCTCTTGATGATTTTAAGATCCTTTCCTGTTCCTCTCCACATTCGGGTACTGGCCTAATCTTAATTGTTTGGGGGGCACAGTATTAGTTTGCCCGACCGCAGGGCCGTTGCGAGGACTTTGCTTCAGGAGAGGTGTGAGGTTCGATTTACGTGAAATTATCAAGATTATTGTTTTTACCTTATTTTATTGGCTAATTAACAATTAGACAACGAGGCCGAGTTGTCTATGAACGAATAGTCAACGAGGCGAAGCCGAGTTGACTATTTGCTCACGGACAACGAGGCCGAGCTGTCTAATTGTTTTAGTATAAACTTTAACATTAATTTACGACCAGGCTGCAAACACAATACTAAAATATAAAACCATTAAAGGTAAACAAATATTTTAGTTTTTGTTCGCATAAAATGTTTTACAAAACTCAGTTTTAATTTTAAAATTTCATTGAGTGTATGTTATTTTGTCTATTTTCTTACCCTTAAAAATTGCCATTCCATATTTTTGTTGCTTTTTTCGGGGTTTTGTTTAGTACAGAATTGTTCAACAAGTCGTCCAAAAAATCATCAGACACTTCGGCAAAAGTGCAAAACGCGAATTTTCCGCCATTTTGAATTTTCTATTAGTAGGCTATCACTA